TACATTAGATAGAAGGTAATCTCAGGGGGGAACTACTGGCTGCTGGGGGTGGTGGGGAAGCCAGAAAAGGCCTCCTGCAGAAGGTGGGATTTCGGCTGATCTTGTGACAATCTAGCATGTGGTCCTGCAAATTGTAAAAGAACAAACTTCTCAATTGTCCAATGGAAAAACTGATGGAAGGAGACCTAACTGGGAATATTCTAAGTCAAATTTTTTTTTTGAACAACGACTTAACTTGTCATTTCTCCATACTGATGGGGAAATGTAGATAGTTTCCAAAAGATTCGGCCAATAGAAAGCTCAGAGCTCAGAGTCCAGAGTACAACACCCCCCCCCGCAAGAAAAATCAAGTTTATACTGAGCATCACGTACTGATTGCCTTTGATCTCTCACTGATGTCAGTCCTATCGTTAGGTTCATTCAGGGAGGCTAGTAGAGAAAGGGGTGGATATTCCTAAAAATAAAAATTAAAAATTAAAAATTAAAGAAGTCGTGGCGTTTTCAGAACCAGGTCCCATGTTACTGAAGCAATGTCTCTGATTTGCAAGAGGGATACAGAAGAAAAGAATAGAAAATCCAGGGCCTGCCTAGTTCTCAAGATGCTAACCAAACTATATTTTACATTCTTGAATCAAAGCCATCATTTCTGTGGACTGAAACGCTGGGAAGACAAGTCCATAAATTTTTCACTGCCGAGAAAGGCAGGCTTGCAGATTTTTTTTCCCCTGGAACGAGTGCTTGAGGCATCTGGGACAGTTCAAAAAGGGAGTCTCCCCTTGTGCCTTCATGAACCCCACCCCCACCACCCCCCAACAATCAGATCTTTGGAAACCTCCAGATGATTTAACTGACTTTTTCCATTTTGCATTTTGGAATTTCACACAACACAGGGCCTACGCCTCACACACCAAACACGGTCATTTTCTTAATGGCTTTTAGGTCAAAAGCAACCTGAAAGATAACTCGGATTTTTCGCCAAAGAGGCGATCAGAAGCGAACTTACACCTTTTCCTCGGGAGGAAGCCAAGGGGCGCCTTAGAATTCGCCAGCTAAACCGGGTTCTTTCCCTAGCAGCCTCAGCCGTTTAAGTCCATCCTGAAAGCAGGTTTTCCTGAGCCGGGCTCCGCCCCCCCTCTTCCCCCCCTTAAAGTAAGACCACCAGCTGTTAATGGCACACACAGAGGCTAAGACAATACCGTTTTCCAGGCTTACATCTAAATTAGATATGCAGAAAACCCCGGCTCAGCATATGCAGATGACGGCCCTCCAGCAGCAAAGAAAGGGGCCCGCCGCAGCTCTCCGCGGTGCATCCCTTTGGGCGCCCGAGCTCGTTTTGTTCAGGGATGGCGCCTGCTTTCTTCGGTGGGGTGGAGTGGGGGTGGGGTGGGATGGATGGGGGAAGGAGGGCGCGGAGGGAGGACGTTTTCCTATCCAGGACTTGGAGGTACAGTGAGCCCTCCTGAAATCTCCCTGCTACGAGCTATATCGAAATAGTACGTCTCCCCACCCCCACCTCCGGGGCCCAAGGGGTGCTTATAAGCCCCGGGAGGGTTCTGTGGGCCAGTGGCTCCGGGGTGGGTGGGTGAGCTTCCCTCCGGCTCGCCGGCCTAGTCCGAGGCACCTCCCCACCCACCCCTCACTCCGGGGCGGCTCGGTCAACTTCCCGCGAGCCCCAGCCCAGGGCCCAAGGGCTCCGCACTCGCTTGGGGACACTTTTGCCTCCGCGAGGAGCAAAGGGCTGCGAAATAACAAGGAAGTTGAAGAGGCAGGACAGAACAATTCCGCAGCCCCACTGCTTCAGCACGGCTGCACTCCGCAGGGGGTTCCCATCCCTCAGCCATGTTCGCGGCTTCAGAGCCGCCCCGAAACCAGCCCCGCCCCCGCGGCGGCTGCGGCTCCTAGGGGCAAAGTCCCTTTCAACTCGAGCCCAGAGCGCGCCACCCCCTCCCCTCCCCTAACCAATCTCGGGGCCCAGGCGGGGGGGGGGTACACTGCGCCTGCGCATTTGACTAGGGGCTTGCGGAGGAGGGGGTCCCCAGAGCTCTCTAAAGCCAAGGGGCACAGGAAGGGTGGGGTCCTGTCTGGAGTCCCCTCTTTGCTCCCAGCCTATGCCCCCCTATCCTTGAGCTGAGAGCAGCCCTCCCATTGCGAACATGCGTGTGTTCGAGCCCCAAATACCCAGAGGCTCTGGGGTGGCCAACTTTTCTCCTCTGCTCCTGGACGTGGCCGAAGGAGCCAGGACTGGCCTCAGGTCTGACAGCAACGACCCCAGGACCATGAGGATGCTTCAAGGGGAGGCCCGCTCCCTCGGACGCAGCCCTGGGCTGGGCTGGGCAGACGGCATGGGTTTGGTGGTGACAGAAAGGACCCGAGACGAAAACCGCGCAGCCAAAGTTTGCGGCTGGGGAGTGACCAGGCGAACCCGCTGTTCGTGGGCCTTGCTTAACCCTTTGATGCTCGCTGGTGCCCAGGTGCCTGCCAAGCTGTTCCCACTCACCCGTCCGCTCTCACTCCCTCTCGGGGCCTTCCCGCCGGCGGCCGTCACTGGAGGGAGGGAGAGGTCTGAGGGTCTTGGGGGAGGAGAAATGAGAGGAGAGGTTTAATGTCTTTTCCCCAAAACCCCTCGGAGCTGGACTAAAACCTGCTAAGGATCTGCTGGGGATGGACCAGGAATGTGTGGCTGGTCCCATCACAGGCGCTGGGACGCCGGGGTCCGGAGGTGGGGTCTGGTGTTCAATTGTCAGTTTCCGTGCAGGAGCAGGAACTCTGCCTGTCTTTTAGGGGAGTATTCAGGCAAGAGGCATTCAATGCTTTCCGGAACCCCTGAGCTAAAAAGATCAGGGCCTTCACTCCCCTCCCCTCCCCAGCCCCCTCCATTGGCCGGGATGAGGGGTAGAGAAAGAAGAAGAGGGGAGGAGCGAGGAAGGCTTTCCTAGCCCAGCTTTTCTCGGGTAGCTGGGAGTGAGGGGGAGCTGCTGTTCCCCTCCCTCTCCCGCCTCAGTCTGGGTTGAAGGGAAACCGCCTGTGGCCGTTTGTTGGCCTCTTCATCTTTCACCTGCCAACGTTTTCGGGAGGAAAAGCGGTAATTTTGAGTTGGTAGCGTAAACACACGTGAAATAAACTCCCCCCCTTTCCCGTCTCGCGTCCAAATCACCAGCGACAGAACCAGGGCCGGCCTGGCCTGACCCCCAAATGAACAGTGGCTCCTCTGGGGTTGCTGCTGCTTCTACAACTACAGAGCTACCGAGCAGCAAGTTTTATTTCCAAAGCAGCCTGTTGGAGATGAAAGGAAAACAACGGAAATTCGAAGCCCCAACAACATTTCTTGGATAACAGGACACTTGTAAGCTTTTCTTAGCTAGGATGTCAAATGCAAAATTTCACTTGCTTCCCATCTCCACCCCCACCCCCCCAACCCTTCCCCACAAGCACAGGGAAATAAAAATTAGGGAAATTTGCCTGACCGCCTCCCCTCCCCCAGTAACGGGGGACCTGGGCACTTCGGAGATTTGGTAGGCTTCCTTGGTGGCCTCATCATTGTTATTAATTATGATTACGCTCGTTCCGATAGTTTGCCTTTTCTGGCCTCTCCTAATGCTAAGCTAGAATGATTTCAAAGGCACTACGTGGAGTTCAAAACTTTTTCAACCGAAGCCTATGTCTTGCCACCACTCTCGGTCCCTGTCCCTCTCTCCTAAAGTTGGCTTGAGGGAAAAATGACAAGGGAAATGATTTAAGGCATGTTTCAAAAGAATCCCCCCTCCCCCAATCCCAACATTTTTACTCAAACTCCTCCATATTCAAACCTCTTTCATTTTTAAGGAAACTTTTGCTGAGATTTGAAAATCATCTGGGATTTGGACAGAAGGAGGAATACTGAACTAGGGAACTGTCTAGTCCATGGAGACCTGGGTCCAATAACCTTCCTCAATGTCAAGGTCAAGCTGAGGATGGGGAGTGCAGGAAGGAGTCTGACGTCCTCCCCCCCATCCCACCCCCCACGTGTAGCAGGTCCAATGTGTGATGACTGAGTACCCAGTCTCCTCTTGCCGCTGGCCCCAAACTACTGGAGAAAAGTGCAGGAGCCCCCCTTTTACAAAAAGACGATCTCTCTTTCCCCTTTCCCCTAGCAGAGCTGTTTGCAGGGGGCCAGCCGCAGGTCTCCGGGCCTCCAGACCCAGGCACAAAGTTGCCTTGCAGGCAAGCCAGTGTGAATTAAGGACCTCATCAATAATTCATACTCTATTGACAAACTCCCGCAGGTAGCCTTTCTTTTAAATTATTGGTTAATTTTTAAACAGGAGTCGGGGCCTCCAATAAAATTGCAGTTAATCAGCGCCAGATCTCCGGAGTAGCTGATTTGAGATTGGTGGATAGTATTGGAGTATCTGGTTCCGTTTGGTTTGGTTTGTTTTGCAAGTTAGACAAAGAGGCCACTAGCACATGGAAGAGCCCCAGATGCAAAAATGCTGCAATGTAGCTGCTACATTAGAGAGTGCAAAAAAAAAAATCCTTCCTCTTCCCCCCCCAAAAAAATTACAGGTTTGAAAACGATGGTGAAAAAGATCAAAAATCACTTTATGCTATTTTTTAAGCCCAAGCATTGGCCCGAGAGAGAGAAGTATTAATTATAAACCTATTCATTAAATTCCTGAATATTTTACAGTTCCATATTATCAGCTTCCCATCCCCAGACTTGCAAATGTGGCATGTATGCAGAATGGTCTTTGAAGTGTTTAGCATCTCCTATTTAAAGTTCTCTAAATTTATGAATAAAGGTCACTTTAGCCTTGCCCACTCCTCACCAAAAAATTAATAACAATAAAGTAATTCATTGACCAGCAGTGACTTTTTAAAATGCCCATTTTAAGAAAATTCTGTGTTTTTGTCCAAATGGAGATAGAATGGAGAAGAACGTTAATATGTTTTGTTTTGTTTTTATCACAAACCAAACAGCCACGTTTCATATTACTGATTTTAATGGAAATAATGCTCTTCACATCTTTGCCTACAAATCATGAGGTTTAAAAATACATATTTTTTTGCAAATGTTTTTTTTGTCTTTCCATAATGTCTCTACAGAGCTGCTGCAATCATCATCATATTGGCTATTAGCAACACAGTTATGAGTGATAGCTGGTTATTGAACTATATATACAGCAAAACAAATCCACCTTAGCCATCAGAATTCCAATACACTAAGGTTCTCTTAAGAAGCACTTTAAGCAAAAGTAAACACATCGAACTGGCCTTTTTACTCACCACCAAACTGTTTCAAACTTATGCTAGCTTCTTGAAAATACATATATATGTGTATATATAGATACAGACATATATAGGCATATGCCTGTATCTCTATATAGAATAGACATATATACATGCATAACACTGCAATGTTCCATCTTTAATGCAAGGGAAAGAAACTAAGGGACATAAAACTCATTGTTACCTTCTGTTTACATAGGCAGTGCAGGGACATTTAAATCCAGCTTCTCAGTCTTTGAAGTGCAAGATTGAGATGTCATGGTCACTAACAGAACTGATTAGTAATATTTGATTTGCATGCCGAAAATCCAGGGCAAACATATTAAACTTGCAGTAAAACACTCATATGAGCTAAAGAAGAAAAAGGAGGGTCTTCCCAGATTGAAACTGACACTGTAAGTAACCTACATTGTGATAGAAAAAAAAATTCCACAATTTAAAAATAAAAAAAGGAATCTGCATTAGTTTTTTTTCCCCCAATCCCACCAAACCGGATTTATAGTTCACGTCCCCAATGTAGGGGAGGGGGGATGCTGTTACAAAAAAAAACCAATTATAATAATAATAATAAAGAGAGAAAAAGGAGTCAGTGGTTCCAAAACTGTAAATTGTGCTCTTCTTTCCAAACAATCAGACTTTTAATGCTAAAGCAGTTATAATCCAAAGCTGTACAGAGTTTGTTAGAAAACATTTTCCCCCATAAATATTGTTCAGTTCCCGGCACTTGTATCAATAATTAAATTACAAACGATAAATATTGGCATCATGGGTACGTATTTACAAGAAAGAAAAAGTTATTACAGAATGCTACTTCATACTAGACGGTCACCATCTGTGTAGAGCAACACCACAGCCTCATCCTGAAAAAAAAACACTCAACAGTGTCGACCCCATTAGACAAGAATACATTCACAAGTGTAATGCTTTGAGAAATAAAGTTCAAGACATAGCAGGACTTTGGCACGGTTTAAGACTGCAAGAGTTTAAACAATCACCACCCAGCCGGAGAAAGATTCCCATCATTTTAACATCACACCATCGAAAGGCCTTTTTTTTTAACTTCCTCTCAAGAAAAAACAGGGCCAGGGTGTTAAAATGAAGGCATCAATTCGGCAGGATTTGGGGGGTTGAGTTGAGTGGAGGGGGAAATTTAGAAAATAAACGAAATTCATTAGAACGCCAAAACATGTTTTCTAATCCTGAGAAAAGGGCAGGGTTACCTCAGAGATCTTGCCAGACCTTGCCAAAGACCTTCCTGGATAATTGCAATTAACAAGATGTAGCCCTAGACGGTTGCTTGCGTAAAAAACTCCATTTCCGTCTGGATTGGTCTCAGTTTTCTTTTTTCTTTCTTTCTTTTTTTTTTTAAACGCATTTGGTCCGTCCTATAGTTAATGGGGTTTTTGGTGTTTGCTTTTGTCCTCAGACGTACCATTCGTTAAAATTGGGAGGAAGTCCCGGGTTGTGGCTGGTGCTAGTCTGAACTGCGGAAGGAGGGGTTTTAGCGGACTCTTTACTGTTTGCAGAGGCTATAGCGGGTGGTGTGGCAGATTCATAGCCTGAACTGGCAGCAGGGGAGGAATCTGACCCTTGAGATTCATGAACCTAAAATTAACATGTATATATTATAATATAGTTCCAACTAGCAACGGTTAAGCAAAGATAGCAGAATTCTTGCACATTAAGAGCAGGATCATTTATCTACCTGATAAAAGGTAAATAAAGGTCATTACATGCTTCCTGCTTACCACCAATTTTGTGAATAGACAGAAATCGTAACATGGAAAACATTTCTTAACCGAAATGGAGCACTACATAACGGAAAGCAGAATTTCTTTTTTCTTATAGTGACCCTTCCAACTTTTTTCCCCTCCACCTAGGACATCCAGTTATTCCTTCCAGGGTTGCAAAATCTTAATTTCTTTAGAGCACTGATTCCTCTCAGGCTATACAGAAGAGAGATGAGCCTAGCCCCAGCTGAGTAGGCAGTGGCCAGATATGCAACAGTAACTGAAGCGTTTTCTTTCTTGTTTTATCAGAGACAGAGAAAGAAGGAAATGAACTACGCTGCCATTAGCCTCCAGAGCCACGGCATCCATTTCGGATGGAACCGCGGGGGTAGGGTGGGGTGGGGTGGGTATGGGGGGAACGGGGGAGAAATAAACAAACTAGCGAACTAAAATACACTGGCTTCATCAGTTGCAACCAGTTCCAAGCTCTGCACGTAAACAGCCAATTGTTCCCTCTTAGTTCCACCCTCCCAACCAACCCCCAACATCTATCCCCACTCCCCCACCCCTTCCCTTGCCCCCTCCCAGAGTTCCCTACCCTCCCTTCCTCCCCCCCCCCTCCACGGACTAAAGGTGTCAAAGGGGGGGGATCGGATTTAAGGCGCAGAAGCAAGGTTTGCCTCGCTTGCACTTTCCTTTTTGGAAAGAGCCTAAAAGATGACTGTTTATCAACAACGAACCGCTAATCAAGAGATAATTACCTTCATGTGTTTCCTAAGAGAGCTGGGGTGTGTATAAGACTTGTCACACACTTTACAGATATAGGGCTTGTCGGATGTATGCACATGCATGTGCTTCTTCCTGTCACTACTGTTTGCAAAGCGTCTATCACAGCCTTCAAATTCACATTTAAAGGGTTTCTCACCTGCAAAAATCAGAAACAGTTAAGTAGCCTTCCGGGGGGGGAAGCAAGCAGCGCTTCGGGAATTGTTGGAGGGGGGTTGGGGGGAGGGGACTAAATCCAGCCAGAAATGACCAATTTAAGCTGGAGGAGGAGGAGCAGGGGGGGAAAAATCAACCTCTACGAAAACCCAACTTTCTCTCCCTAACTCCTGGGCTCGCCTCTACTCAGCAACCTCCCCGAATCCCTAGAGAACACCTCGCTGAGGTATTAGCCCCAAAGTGTGGGACAATAGGATTTGTTACGTTACAGTTCAATTCAATCCGTTCTTTGTGGCTTTTAATTTGCCCCCTTTCAAATGCAGCGGTGGTGCCCAGTGAAGTGTTAAAGGCAGAGCCCGAGCACTTCAGGTTCCAATGGCGAAAACTATATAAATTCAGCAGCTCCAGACAGTTTTACAAGACGTGCTGAACAAGACACGAAAATGTGTCGCTCTCGCCTTTTCGAGTTTAACTTTCCTCGTGGAGTCCTGAATGGAACCTAGAACTCCAAATAAAAATAGTTTGACAAAAGTATCAGTGATTTAATTAGGAGATGTGCCAATCAAGACTAAAAAAGAACGGAAGTAACAGAAAATTAGATGACATTAGCATTTCTATGGTTTGCCTTCCTCCGAGTGGAAGCGGGGAGCCGAGAGTCATCCCCACTCAGACCCTGACTGATTTCCTTCATATCATCAGCCCCCGAAAGGGAGACAAAAAGAGGACGCACGGAGGGTGGAGGAGCCCTGCTCTCCTCGCCGCCGCCGGGGGTCGGGGATGGGGGGGGGAGCTCGCGGGTCCCAATTAGCTCTCGGAAGAGGATGGGGAGGAGGGCCAAGCCCGCGTCCAGAAGGTTTTTCCCATCCAGCCCGGGAAGTTAAACTGGGGACAAAGTTGCCAGCAAACCGGGCAACCGAGAACTGAAAATGACCATGTTCGGAGGAGGGCAGCGGGGGTGTCTGTCATTCTCTCTCTTTCCCTGGTTGTCTCCGTGCGCGTCCCCCCGCCGCCCTCCTCCTCTTCTTCCTCCTCCTCCTCTTCAAGCCCTCTTAATAGACCCCCATCCACCCGGGCTGTCGCCTAGGCTTTTGTTGGTCCGGCTGGACACCTGGGGAAGCCGGAGCATTGCACAGGGGTCAGGGCAAGGGGGAGGAGAGGGCAGCTCATCGCTCCGGCCCCAGTTCCCTCCCCACTGTGCCCCAAGCCTTCCCCCCCAAACCCTGCACCCTCCCGCCCGGCGCCCTTACTTACCTGTGTGTGTCCTTTTGTGAATCTTGAGATTCTCGGAGCGGGCGAAGATCTTGCCGCAGCCCGGGAAGGGGCAGGGAAAGGGCTTCTCGCCTGTGTGCACGCGGATGTGGTTGACTAGTTTGTATTTCGCTTTGAAGGACTTGCCCTCCCGAGGGCACTCCTCCCAGTAGCAGATGTGGTTGTTCTGCTCCGGCCCCCCCACATGCTCCATGGTGACGTGCGTCACCAGCTCGTGCATGGTGCTGAAGGTCCGGTCGCAGCTCTTCTTGGGCCGGCCCAACTGTGCCTCCTCGAGCCATTTGCACGCCAGCTCCTGCTTGATGGGCTGGCGCATGTAGCGGAAGAAGGCGCCCGGGCCGTGGTGCGCCGCGGCCGCGGCCGCCACGTTCATGCCCATGTTCACGTTCATCGGGGGGGTAGTTGTGGAACTGGGCGCCTGCGGCGTACGGGTCGGTACGAGGACTGCCCACTGCGCGGTAAGGGTCAGGACGGCCGAACAGCTCTCCTCGCAGCCCCAAGTGCACCTGGTTGTTGTCCACGTGGGCCGTGGGCGATGGGTGACTCGGACTCTGCTCGGGCAGCCCGGGGAAGAGCAAGTAGCCCGGTGGCTCTGCGATGCCCGGGGGTCCGTGCAGGCTCCCCGGCGAGCCAGCGAACAGCCCATGCTGGCCGCCCCCGGAACTCGCCTCCCCGAGGCCCGAGCCTCGCTGGCGGAACAGAAAGTCGCGCGTGGAGTTGAAGGCGGCCGCGGCTCCCCCGTACGAGGGCACCTGGCCGGCGTGATGATGATGGTGGTGATGGTGATGATGGTGGGGGACCCAGGGCGTTGGCATAGCCCGAGCCCTGCGGAGTGAACGCCGAACTCTGGCCCGAGGACAGGTCGTGCGCCGCTGCTGGGCTCAGCTTGAAGGCGGCGGCCGCGGCATGCGAAGCGTCCCCGAAAGGACTGAGCCCCATCCCTGCCGCCTCCCGGTTAGACATCTCATGGTGGCGCGGGGCTCCGAAGCCCCCGACTCCCAGCGAGGGGAATTGAGGTCCTCCGTCCAGTAGCATCGTCATGGATGGAGGGCGCCCCGGCAGAGGCACCAACGACGGTGGCGAAGGAGACGACGGCTGAGGCGCGGGAGGAAGAAGTCGCTGGAGCGGCGGCTGCAGAAAGCCCAAGGACTAGGGACAGTGCAGAGACCCCGAAGGAGCAACCAGGGGCAGCAACTTTCAGGGTCTGAGTGTCTCCTGCAGAGGGAGATGAAGGAGGAGGGGAAAAGAAGAAGGAGGGATAAGGAGGAGGAGGGAGGAGAAGAAGGAGGAGGAAAAGCAGAAGGAGGGAGGGAGGAGAAGCTCTGGTACCAGATCTGCTTTACGGAACTACTAAAAGCACAAAGAAAAAATAACAAAAATAATAACTGGGAGCGGAGTTGGCAAATCTTGCACCATACACAACAAACCTTTCCCGCCCACCACCCCGACACAGAAATAAAAATGATGATATTGAAGTGGTGGAGGAGCCCGCTCTGGGTCAGAGAGCCCCCTCCCCACCAGCCCCAGCAAGCCGGGATTCTAGGGAAGGAAGAGAAGGAGTTCACCACCCTCTTCTCCAACAGAGTAATGTCCTTGGACTGATAAAGTCAATCACTCACTCCTGGCACATAAACCGACTCAGGAGGTAGCTCGCTCTGAGCCAATGGGGAGCCTGCTGGCACGCCGTCACCTGACCCCCGGCTGGCCCGGCCATTGGCTGTTTTGCTTGTGATTGGCAGGCTAGAGCAGGGAATATGGCAGCTTCATTGAAAAGGAGGCTCCTGATTGGGCTGTGTGCCTTTTAGCGACTCCCAGGTAAGGTTAATGGGGGTCTCAGCGCCCAAATATTTTGTTTACTCGGGTCCAGTTTGGGAGTCGCTGAGCACCTGGGATCCGAGCAAACGCACCCTCCAGTAGACGCCCCACAGCCCTCCTTCCCGGGCTTCTTACGCGTTATGCACCTGGTTCAGCGAAAGAAACTCTTCTTTCTTTCGATGTTATCTCCCTCCTGACATCTCCCACTAGGGTGGCTGGGGCTGGGGGCTGGGGGTGATCTGTCTATTTTTCTTTCTGCTCCTACCTCTCCAGTTACCTGAATCTGAATCTGAGTATTAACATCCAGAAGCAGGGTAACGGCAATTGGTTTTAGAGGCCCCGCAGTCGACGACAGGAGCGATGGGCATTTGCCCCAAATGTCCACGCTCATTGACTAGGCTAGGCTCCTTCCATCCATTTCACTCCTGCCCCTCCATTGACACCATAGCGTGTCTTTTTTTTTTTAAAGACACCTATGGAAAAAAATAGAATCGAGACTAAACCAAGCACGTTCCCTCGCCTGCCCCTCCCTCAGTAATTGGGTGCCCCCACCTCCCCACCCCAGTAGCCAACTGCTTCCCATTCCTTGAGGGAGAAAAATCGGTTGAAACCCGGGTGGGCTTCCGAGCGAAGATTCTTCTCTCAGAGCTTTAGCCAGTGTTCGCTTTCTCTCTCGCTTTCTCTCTCTCTCTCTCTCTCTCTCTCTCTCTCTCTCTCTCTCTCTCTCTCTTTCTCTCTCCTTCCCCCCTCCCCTTCTCTCCACAGCCGCCCCCTCCTCCTCCTTCTCCCCCACCCCTCCCCCTCTCCCACAACCACCGCCACCCCTCCAAAGACTGTGGCTCAGGCGGCCTTTAAAACTAACGGGTTGAACCAGACCGATTTCTAAAGAGTTCTAAATCCAATCCTTCACCCAAAGGGGGCTGCTGGGAGGTGGAATTTTCCTCCCAAGACACCCCCCCCATATGTTACACCCACCACCACTTCTAAACAGTATCAGTGTTTGCTCCGACCTCCCGTGTCCGTTTCAGAAACCCAGGGCAGAGTGCATAGATACTGAGTGTCCTTTAGACCACAGTTGATTTGGAGAATTGAGTTTGAGGTCTGGGGAAGGGGGAGGGAGGGAAGTAAGAGTGTTGTGTTTTTGTTTCCCCCCCTTTTTCCCCCACTATCCCAATGTGTCTCTGGGAATAATGATGAGACTCAGACAGCACTATAAATCCCCTCATTTTCTGTCCTGGAAAGCCTTTGCAAAGAGCGATGGGGAGCAAGGGTGGGAAGAAAAGGCCGAAAGAAAGATGGCTGTAATTGTAATATCCTGCCATTTGCAGAGCCCCCAAGTCTGTGCATTGAGCCAGGCTCACAGGATTGCCGCCGTCTCTCCGCAGGAACCAGCAAATCTGATCAAGTTCAGAGGCGCATTGAGAGACGCTTCAAGCAGCGCTTTATAACCTCGGCTCTTTCACACCCTGCCTCCCAATCAGCCCCGAGAAAGACTGCACATTCTTTATTTTAGAGTTTGCAAAGAGGGGGAAGAGAGGAAAAAACCCCCACCGGTATAAAGTCTTCCCCACCAGTAACCCCATCTCCCATCAAACCAATCACAATTCACCCTCCGCATCTCTACAGAACACTCACAAAGTTGAAGGTGAGTTGCCGCTTCCTTAAATATATTACCTCTGAAAACTCTCGCTGATGAAAGTAGACTTGGGGGTGGTTAGGGATGGATAGGGGAGACCAACTTCATTTCTGAGGGGGTTTGCACCAAAGAACAAATATGGCTAAATCATGCAAATGAATTCCCCAGAGTCTGAGTTATAAAAAGAGGGGATTTCTTTCGTTTTTTTCTCATTTCTTTTCTTACCTTCCCTCGTTTTCTATTCTTTCTTTCTTCCCTTCCCTCCTCCCACTCTACCCCCAATCCCTACTCTTGGATCGCTGTTCTTGTTGGGGAAAGTACAGTTCCTAGGGGATAACCTAGGTGATAGTAGGGAGAGGGAAGGTTTGAGCTTCTTTGGGGCCCCATCCCGGCTGGGTAGAGGTGGGGGCAACCAATGCAGTAACCTCCTTGGATGTGTTTCTGATTGTCCATTTCCAATCTCCCTGGGATCCAGGAATCATCTGTCCTGGGGGAGTTTGAGAGGGAGGGGCAGTGACAGGGGAAGGATGTAAAAGAGAGAAAAACTAACAAGGGTCGGCCAAGTTTGCCCAACTTCTCCTCGTCTGTTGCAGTTGGGGGGGGGGGCTGGTTAAGCTGTTAGGCCTTTGACTTACCTGGCCTGGGATGTCTTACTCCGGATGACAACAAGCAGAGAATTAATTACCTTTAGCACGTGTGCTCTTGTCTCCGGGACAAAAAGGCATAATTCAATTAGGTCCTCAACTGAGAATGGGGGGGGGGTAGGGGAAATGGCTGTGAAGTTGTTTGGACAAAAGAACTTTGATTCCTGCAAGTTCTCCTGGGCAGCTCAGCTCCTGATCTGAAGCTTGGAGGGGGGCGCTATTGGAAGCTGAAAGAGGGGGTGCAGAGTCAAAACCAGAGTGGGGACTGTGGAATCTAGGGACTGAAGGGTAGTGAGATTGGGTGCCCCATTGCTTCTTTTGGCCCAGCTGCTCTGAGAAATCGGAGACTGAAAGCTTGCCAGATGTATGGAAGCTATAGGCTGTTTTTAAAAAAGTGAATGAAACCCCCTTCCCCACAAGCTAACCATGTTTTTGCAGAGAAATTGAACTTTGCATGGGATGATGTCCAAAGCCCCTTCCTTCTCTATGACCTTATTTTTCTATGGCAGTGTCCTCTCTCCACCTCCACTTCTATCCCCAGCTCCAGCTGCCGAGTTTGAGGAAGGGGAGGGGGCACATCCTTCAAGCAAGACGACAAGGGACTAGAGGGGACACAGCCAAGCAGTGCTTGGAAACATTGAAGAAAGTCAGGCCCTGTCTCCAGTGTTGGGGAGTCTCTCGTCTTGGAAAGACTGAAAAGGCACTTTGCAGGAGGCATCCTCATTTTTCGGATCCATCGTGGGGCTCCCTGGGCAGCCCTGGTGTATGCGCTTTACATGTGTGCTGGGCAGCATAAATTAAGACAGAAATCACTCTAATTCACTTCCCACTCCTCCATGGGCTGGCCTCAATGCATGTATATGTATATTCGTGCTACGTGTGAATTTGGAAGCATAGGAAATACTCTGTATTTGTGCTCATAAGAAATAGATGCTCTGTGTGTGCTTGTATACAGATGGAAATATACTGGCATCCTCTCCCTTACCCCAAGTTCAAACCCCAAGTAGAAACCAGATTTATTTTATCTCCATATCTGGGCATTTGGATATACAGCCAGAAACTCTGGTCTGTCAGACAGACATGTCTGGAAACCAATTCCTGCCCTCCCCCCAGTTCATCTTCCAAAAAGCAGGAAGGGGGAGAGCAGGGAGGAAATTTAGGGAATTGATGTAATCTGTTAGCATTGTGTCTTTGGGCAAGACAGGGCAGCTGGGGAAACTGGCCACGAAGCTCTTATTTTTGCCTCTTCTAAGGCTACTAGGTCATTTTGGGGAGTGGGGGGAGTCTTTTCTCACGTACTATCTCCTGTGGGCTCCAGTAAGGGAGAAGAAGGCAGAGTGGTGCCTGGCCTTGAAGCAGGCACAAGGCAGGGGACTTCTGGTCTGTGTTCATTGCAGAACCGGTTGGCCAGCCCACACTCGAAAACATTTTTTTAAAAGACCCTTTAAAAATCCAACGAGCGGATTTCCGTCCTGCCCAGGGCTTCCTAATTTCTTGTGCAGTAAATGAAATGAGAGAAAGCTGGAAGGGTATGATCCCAAGGAACTGACCCTGGAGGGCCCTTGGGCTCTGGACTCTCCCTTTCCTAGGTCCTACTGGATGTCCCCTATCTCCCTATCTCCAGATTCCTGACTTTCACCAAGTCCCAAAAGAGAAGCTGCAAGCCCCAACACTGAGGGGGGAGGTGCTTTGAAACTTGGTTCTTCTGCTTAGATATCACTCTTAATTGACTTAGATGGAAGGGAAGGGGATCAGATTTAAATATTGATCTCCCATCTCCTCCAGAAGTTTTGAAAGGTAGTAGCTGAGTGTGCTGAAAGTTTTTATTGCCTATTTAAAGAGTTCTCGCTCCCCAGAGCTAACACAAGAATCATTCAACCTAAAATACCTTTTATAATTCAGTACAGTATCGAGAAATCGGGTAGCAACATCATCAGCCTAAGAACTGTGGTTTTCTCCCCTCTTCTGCCCTCCCCACTCACAAAGGCATTGCAAAATCCAGTTAAATTCAACTGGAAACCAAAGAGAAAGGAGACATTTTTTCATTGCAACTGTCAATCAGGACAGGGCAGCCACTAACATCAAGTTGCCCTTGAACTTCTTTCTAGGCTGGAAGACTCCAGGAAACAAGTCTCCACTTTCCAAGCAGGAAAGGTACTGAGTCCAAATGGAAGAGCTCAGAGCAAAGCTCTGGGGTAAAAGGAAGCCTAGACTCTATAGAAAAGTGGGCGACTCCCAAC